TATGTAATGCCAACATTTACAAATCCTAGGTCTGGCTATAGGAAAATGCCTTTAAAATGCAGATATAAAGTTTGTGTATATACATTATTATCTTTTATTTTACCTACCTCAGAAGGAGGGAAGGCTGAGTCAACCTTGAGCCTGGTGGGATTTGAATTGCCAAATTACAGATAGCCTGCAGTCAGCAAAAGTACCTTACAGTACTTCACTCTAACCATTTTACCCACTAAGCTCTATATATTGAAAGTACTGTACTGTAATAAAATAAAAGATAATAATGTATATTCACAAACTTTTTATCGGCATTTTAAAGGCATTTTCCTATAGCCAGACCTAGGATTTGTAAATGTTGGCATTACATAAGAAAACTTTAGTTTTATTCAGTTACTTCATGAAAAAATAACAAATAAAATCTTGAAAAGCTAACACTGTACAGGTAGCCCTTAACTTAGGACAACAATTGAGCCCAAAATTTCTGTTGCTAAGCAAGACAGCTCTTAAGCGAATTCTGCCACATTTTGTAACTTTTCTTACCACAGTTGTTAAGTGAATCACTGCACATATTAATAGCATGGTTGTTAAATGAAACTGGCTTCCCTGTTAATTTTGCTTGTCATAAGGTTGCAAAAGGTGATCACATGACTCAGGGACACTGCAACCATCAGAAATACATGACAGTTGCCAAGCATCCAAATTTTAATCATGTTGAACACAGACATGCTGCAGTGGTCATAAATATGAAAATCAGTCATAAGTCATGTTTTCAGAGTCATTGTAACTTTGAATGGTCACTAAACAAATGGTTGTAAGTCAAGAATACCTGTATTATATTGCTTTTCTAAATCTGAGTGAAGGAAATATATACAAATGTAATATGACTTTGGTTAAAATGCAAAATTATGCTATGTATAGACTTGAAATTTAAATAAGCTGACGCTTATTTTTCTTTGCACTTTTTGCCGCTGAATTGTTAGGCTGAGCTGTTTGCTGACAAATTCCATGGCGGCCGAATGTTCTATAATCAGGCTGTAATGTCTGCACTGAAAATCCCTCAGGTATAATATTATACTGGACAGTACATTTCAAAATGTATTTTCAGCAAAATAAGCAGAAAAATAAACAACTGTTGAGCATAGCACTTAATTTCAGAAGGGACATGTAGGAGCTATTGTTTTTCATGTGCTGGAATTCTGTTATGATTGAGAATATGTTTTGTAGATAGCTCTCTGGTTAATGAGTTAATGAAGGCATTAAACACTTATATTAGCTTCTTTATCTTGTTCTCTGTAATGAATTATTGGGGCATAGTAAGTGGTTCATATACAATTCAGAAAAACACAAGTCATTTCAAAATTCCAATAGTCTATGTGTAATTTGGGGTATTAGATCAAACCAAGTACAGATTTCCCATCATTACCAGAGTTACGTGTTTTTTTTTGTTAATATACTGCTTATATGTTAGCTATTTTTGCTGTAGTGTAAAATTTAGAAGGGAGTTTTGGTTCTGTATCCTAAAATAAAAATCTTTATTCTTGTACTCTGGGGTTTTCTGAAATCACTAAATGCTGCTTCTCCAGAATATGTTACAAAGACAGCATGCCTTTTGAAGTTACTTAGAAAATTAAATTAAATTTCATTTATTTTTTTCTCACACAGCTATCTTGTGTCTTCTAGGTGTCAGTTGTATGTGGCTCTTGTACTGCTGGAGGTGCTTATACTCCTGTGATGTCAGAAGAAACATCCATTGTAGATAAAATTGGGACAGTGTTTCTCGGTGGTCCCCCTTTAGTTAAAGCAGCCACAGGAGAAGATACTAATCCTGAGGAATTAGGAGGAGCCAGTTTGCATGCTAAGTAAACATTAGTTTCTCAGCTCTTAATACTGATTGAATTGTATATTCAGTCATAGGTAGTTTTCTATAATGAAGGTTTGCCTGAAATATACTCAAACAACCGGTATTGAAAAGCATATTTCAAAGCCAGTGTAAAAAGAAATTGCCAAACTGGAACATGTCCAGAGGAAAAATTAACAAAATAGCATGAATAGGGGTTTGTACAAAATGATAATATAATGATATGGTCAACTCTGGTAACTCTGGTGACCCTAAGCTACTTAACAGAACTAAAACCCCAGATACAAAACCCAGTGGATACCCCCGCCCATGAAAGCAATAAAAAAAACCACTCAATGGGCTCCATATCCTCCTGTCTTCAGGGCTTTTTGAAATAAAATCAAGGTAGGAGCCAATTTTATGAGCCGTGATGGTGCAGTGGTTAGAATGCAGTACTGCAGGCTATTTGTGCTGACTACTGGCTGCCTGCAATTTGGCAGTTTGATTCTCACCAGCTCAAGGTTGACTCAGCCTTCCATCCTTCTGAGGTCAGTAAAATGAGGATCCAGATTGTTGGGGGCTGACTCGTTTCGATAGGGCTGTAAAGCAATCTGAAACAGCATATATCTAAGTACTATCGCTATTGCTATCTCCAAATGGATGATGAGAGAGGGAGGGAGACGGAGAGAGAGAGAGAGAGAGAGAGAGAGAGAGAGAGAGAGAGAGAGAGGCCCTTCTTGGTCCCATTAGATGGCCCCTACATAACATACCCTGCATCATTTTGTCTAATCTGAAAAAAAAGTGCCTCAGTGAGTGATATGCTAAACCACTTTGGATCAGCCATAGTACTGCAGAAACAAAGCCAGGATATATTGGTGGTTCTCGTTCCAAGTTTTGACACAAATAATATATAGACAGCTCTGCAGGTGGAATAGGTAAAGTTAGCCCACATTTTCTTCTTTACACTCCTCTACATAGCCTGAATATTGGGCAACCTATCACTATCTTTCCAACTTGTTCTTCCTTCCTTCCATTGCTTCTCCAAGGGATTTACTGCTTTGAGCTTCTGTACTTTATTATGATGGTCTCAGTACTATAGAAAGGAACAGATTTCCAGCCTGGCACATTATACTGTCTTGTTTGTTTGTTTAATTTATATTGCCACCTATTCACCCATGTCGACTCAAGGTGGCTTACAGAAAATAAATCATATTTAAAACAATAAAACTAATAAAAAAGAATCAAATAAATTAATATAGTATAATATAATAAAATCACCCTATCCCCAATTATTTCCAATATTCCCAACATCATCCATTCCCTTTCCCCCTCCTTTTCTTAACTGCTTCCATTCATGTGAATGAACACATCATGAGAATGAAGAACTTCTTAAAAGTCCAAACTAAGCTTTGCCAATACAGAATTAATTTGATTCAAATGCATGAAGGCCTCAGTCCCATTACTTGCTTTGAAAAAATTTCTAACTTTTGTGAATGCTGTAATAATGGTAATAGTATTTGTGCAACAATATAGATGCAAAATGTGATTTGGAGGATGCATTGGCATATTTGCTTTGTGTGTTGAGAATGCCTGTAACCAAACACATCTTTCCCATAATAATACATCACCAGTGAAGATCGCTGATGGAGCTGGATAAAAGATGCAGCTGCTTTTAAGGTTCTATAAGCATTTAAATAATAGCTACTTAAATGCAAGCCAAATCACATTTTGTCTTTCAAATCCAGATTGCTCCATCGCCTTATTTGTATGCTGTATTGCCCATAACTAAGTCATACATGAGAAGCCATCTGACTTAGGAAGAGTGACTGGCAAGTTGCCTTGAAAATAGGCATATCTATTCAAATTACTGTATTTCATATAAGCTTTTATATACTGGTAATATTTTCAAATGTGCATTTTGAAGTAGCATAATGAAAAGTAATATTTAATATTTTTATGATTCTAGCTGTTACTTAAAATAGATCTTCATTTTTTATGCTTTCATTATTAATACTAATATTTTAATGGTTTAGCCTGAATGTTGTATTTTATACTAGTTATATATAACGGAAATCTCTCTTTTAGGGTCAGTGGCTGTGTTGATCATTTTGCATCTTCTGAAAAAGAAGCATTTGAATATATTAAAAATGCTATTTCAACACTGAATTATGTAATTCCCATAGAAGAGATTCCAGAATTTGATAATCCCTTGTATGGTGATGATGACCTCCTAGGACTTGCACCACAAGATTATAGTTACACATTACATATAAAATTGGTAAGAATCCAGTTGCAGGTCTGATCACAGTTAAATTGATTTACCTCATTCTGATATAGAAAGACTGAGCAACCTATTTGGGCATCTAAATCAGTGATTAAAACAGAAGTCTTAAGATCCTTAACCTGCTTAGATCATTTATGGAAGGTATTTTATTGCTGAAAAGAATAACAATAGCTAGAGCACTTTAAAATCTTAACAAGTTTTATTATAGTATATTTTTTGTGGGTCAGAGTCTATTTCATATATGAAGTGGAAACCTATATTTTCACATATACGTTTACTTTTCAGTGATGGCTATAGTATATATCTCAAAAAGGTGGCTAAGATTCCAGCGATGTTATACTTAAAAAATAGTGTTTAGGGACTTATTAGAATTTCTATTAATTTTGATGTAACAGACTAGTGCCATTATCATTACTGGCAATTATATTTTAGTTAATTAATTTTTCAAGATTTTAAAAACACCCATATCCCTCAAAGAGGACTCTACATTAAGTATAGATATTCTGTTGAGAGGTGATTTAATTAATTAAAAGAAGAATATTCAGGACTGAAAATAAAATTAAATTCTGAGTATACATTTGATGCCTAGCATCAAATTAAAAAGTTATAAGTAATTATGTATTTGATTTGATTTTCTTATAAAAAAAAATTGAAAATGAGCCAGTATTTTTTTTAATTGAAGAAAAGTGACTTCATGCTGATTTTTCATTTCTTTAACAATATTTTACAGATTCTGAGTCGGATAATAGATGGCAGCAGATTCCAAGAATTCAAAGCTAATTATGGTATAACTTTGGTAACAGGATTTGCCTACATAGAAGGGTGAGACGAAAAATTTGAAATAGCTAGCTGGGTTATTTTAACACTTTTTATGAATGCATTGTTCAGAATAAATGATTTTATTTTATTAACCATAATTGAGTCCTTTTATTTAGATAACCCCAATATTGTAATATGTGCATATTTCAGATGCTGAAATCCTAAGCATGTTTGTACTGAGGTAATCATCTTTGAACTTTGCAGGATTTACTTCTGAATTAAGTTTATAGAATTGCACTGAAAATAATTCTATTGAATAAGAATCAGATGTACTTTATCTTTTGAAAACATGTGTCTGCAAAAATCAGATATATTCCACTTTTATTATTATCTTAATTTTAATTGCTGCCAAGTGTTATCTCCTTTATACCTTTTTAGGCTGCAAGACCTTTCTTGATGCACACTAGGCTCCTTGTCCCTTCCAGCATTTAAAACCTTCTTAATTAATATTTTAATTTTTTTTAAAATTGGAAGCCTATGTGCTGCAAATTACTGCCAGCATCCAAAAATCATCTTCAAAAATGAATATCTTCTGAATTGAAGCCCTATAAGCTTTTTTAGATCAGAGGTGTTTATAGTTTTTCAAACTGGAGAACCCGTTAGTTTAAAAACAGGGAGAGAATAAAGATCTTGTGATAAAAAATTCACTCAGCTGAAGTGACCTTTTATTTTTGTCCTTAGTTTCTCATGGATCTTAATCAAGTTCCAATATATCTAAAGGATTCTTCTGAATACAGATTGAAAAACACAGTTTTAGAGTTAGGGTTAGGGTTAAAATCATTGGGTAGTTGCAGTCCTCTGTGTATTGTTTCAATTCCTAGAGAAATCTGCTTTTTCATCTTCCCTACAACAATATGTTTATTGCATATAATATGTGAATTCTGGGCATCTGACCAGAAAATGCTCAGCTCCATCCAGGCAGCCTGACTACCCCGAATTAAGGGATTACAGGGTTATAAAAAGGGAAGTTTTTTTTTAATGGTATGTGAGTGCTAAGTAGACTATCATGGATACTGTGTGTTTGCATTAGATACCACAGTACTAATAATGCATAACAAAGTCCTCTTCCACTCTTTCTCCCTTAAAAAGCTCAATTTGTTTTTTGAAGTATTTTGTGTGAAAAAAGTATTCTTCCTCACTGTATTCTTCAGTGCTGCTTGATTATGAGTATTCATCTGTATTCTGGACCCGTGTCCCTCCTGGCTGGTTGCCAACAGCAGGGAGGTGACACATGGCTGGATCCAGGCGGTCCTTCGGGAGGGGCACTTCCCCGCCGCACTTAAGACGGCGGTGGTGAGACCCCTCCTGAAGAAACCATCCTTGGA